TATATATATATTTTATTTATTTATTATATTTGTATCTTATATTGTGTACGTATATTGTGTGTATGTTGTTGTGTATGTGTGTGAGAGAGCCGCATCATTGGTGTTCCTTTTTTGGTCAAATTGAAGCCATGCCTGAAGCCTGCTTTGTGGTCGTCCACGAAGCTTGAACTTTTGACTCGCTGAGCGAGACAAGCGCTCAGTGGGGCGACCACGGGCACGCGCCTCAAGGGTGTGCGGGGCCGTAAATGTATAGAGAGGGTGGAAGGAAAGTTGATTATTTTGTAATTTTTCGTTTATTTCTTGATGCTGCTACCCGGAGAACCGGTTTGTGACTCCATATCAGGCGGGATCAGCCTCCCTTCACTTACTTCACTATCTTTCTCTGACAAAGCAATTGATCCAGCGTGTATTTCATGCTTTTATTGATTAATGTTTCTCTTTCGCAGGAGCTGGGTTCTGTGTCGTCACGTATAGAGGGCAGCACTAGCACAATCAACCATGGTCCCCGAGAGGAGTTTACTCTGTTCCCTCCCCCTGGTATTTCTCAGCTGTCCGTCTCCACCACGCAGGTTTGTTCCTTTTGCAAGCGTCCCGTAGGGTGCAGGACCCACGCACGCGACACACAGGGAAGACAGTTGTGCATAAAGGATCTTTAAAGTTTACCTAAATGTACGCAAGTGATTCTCAATTTTTCTCTCCCTAATAAACTTACATCCAAGTCATGAATGGACACACCATCATCTCATAACATCATTTCCTTTCCCTTCCTTTCTAATCACATCCGCACGCATACGAGGCGAAACCTGAGGGTAGAAGTGACGTCACAGTCTTATCACGCTTATATACCTCTTCCTTTCCTGGTATTGGGCGTGACCCTCTGTGGGCGGGGCTCTTTCGTGACCGCGAGAGCCAGCTCTGACTTCATTAAAGGACGCGTCCTTTGCAGAGTCTTCTTCCCCGGGCAGGCCGACCGGTGAATTCATGCTGAATGATGTGGAAATGCACCATGGAAGAATGGTAATAATAAATGGGGTGAATGGGAAGGCAAAGCGTTAAGATGAAGTAAGACAGGAAGGTAAAGAGAAGAGACGAGAATAGACAAGCTATACGAAAACTCGATTCGAATGTCCGATTTGTTCGTGTGGCGTCCTGCGATGAAACCATTCCCATGGCATCCGAACTCATTTCTTGATTCCGTTAGAGCAGCCTCCGCGATCAGCCATGTGTCACGGCGGCGAAGGGCCGCGCGCCAGATCCCGCTAGCGCCGCCGCCGGACCGTTACCGCTTTTGCATGGTCACAGGAGGGGGTGAAGGACATCCCTGGCACGCCCTGCGCCTGGCACTCCTAGCCACGAAGGTGTATAACTCAGTGGAAGAGCACAGCCCTCCGTGCAGCGATGGGGCGTTTCTTAACGATAGCAAGTGGGCGTGGCCTGATAGCGACGCCAAGACATGAAAATGAGAAGAAACCCGTGCAAGTAGAAAAAGGGCGTGTCTCTTTGTGGTGTGGCTGGAAGGCGTGGTCAAGGGGGAAAGAGGAGGATACACGGGAGCCGAAAGAACAACGAAGGAACAGTTAGCCGCTGATTCACTCCCTCTTTTGTTCTCTCTTCTTCTTTCTTTGTTTTCCTATTGATCGCATTTCACCCGAAGGAAGAGAAGCGGCGAAAGAGACGCCTGAGCGGGCATGCACTGTGCCTCGCTCAAGAGAGCCGCCTTTCCCCTGCCAGTCACGTGGTCGGCGCGTCATTAAACGCTCCGGGAGAAGCTGCGCAAGTTTGGAGGGGATGACGGGGCGGGTCTCCGGGCCGCCGCTCGGAGGGCGCCAGGCCGGGGCGGGCGGTGCGCCGGAGCACGACGCGGGGAGAGAGGAGGCGGTCCCGTGCAATTCAATTGGCTCTCGTGGGACCGATAGTTTGTTGTTGGGTTAAAACTGAGAATTAGAGCCAAGGAGACAACTGTCATCCACGCTCCGCGGTCCCCGTCTCTCTCTCCCTCCCTGTCAGGGTTTTGTGTTTTGCCCTGATATTGGTGGGTTTATGGAGACACAGTTCTGGTTTGCTTCTTTGTTGATAGGAGGTGGCTGGTAGGTAGCGTGGCGCGGGC